ATATTTCAGTCACAAGTTTAAATATTTAGCTTGTTGTATGAATCATATGGTGAAAAACTGACTTTGAAAAATAAATCTGTTCTTTTTTTCTTATAAAAGGATAAATAAAACAAAAATATTTGTGGTAATTTTTGACTGTGTAACTTTACAAACGGCACCCTATACACTTACATGTTTGTTGTCTCTGCACAGATTCTGGTACCAGGCACCACCACCACCGCTCGGCTGACCGATCTGCTCGCAGACACTGACTACAATGTTGGAGTTATTCCCCTGTACAGCGATGGGGAAGGACCYGCCGCAAGTGATGATGGGAAGACACGTACGTTTCTGAGCTGAAACRTTTAAAGACGACGTTCGACTGAGACTGCCTTAAGTAACACAATTAATTTATATATCCTAGTGCCACGCAGCGGTCCGAGGAACATGCGGGTGTACGACCCCACTACCACCACTCTCTCCGTTAGCTGGGAGCCTGCAGACGGTCCAGTCAGTCAGTATCGCGTCAGTTGGGTCCCGAAGACAGGACAACAGGATGAAAACTACGTGAGCATGTTTTACCTTTTATTTTTTTTCCTTTTAAAGTAGAAGTTAACCAACAAAGAGCCATATTCTAGYCCTGAACAACCAGTTTCTAATGTCGCATTTCAAACGTCTTGCAGATGATGGTGACATCAAGCACAAACAATTTGATCCTGCAAAACCTGGACCCAGAAACAGATTATAATGTCAGAGTGACTGCAATGTATCCTGACGGGATCGGAGGAGAGATGGACAGAGATGGACGCACACGTATGACCTCTTAATTCATGCAAACAAACTTTAAACTATGGAAAACACTGGGATTCAGAGCATCTTGGTGAACCTTTGACTTGTTTCCTGCAGTGGGAATGCTTGGTCCCAGAAACTTGCGTGTTTCTGATGAGTGGTACACCCGTTTCAAGGTGGCCTGGGACCCTGCTCCCTCCAGGGTTGATGGATACAAGCTTATCTACCAGCCCGAGGGTACGAACAAGCTGTCATTTCATTCCATTAAATATTTCAAGCTCTTCTCTAAGYRTTGCATGATTTGAAGGCTTGTTTTGACATTTCWTTGTGCCTCATCAGGTACTGATGAGTCCATGGAGATCTTTGTTGGAGATGTGACCTCACACCAGCTGAATAACCTGRATCCTGGAACGACCTATGACCTGAAGGTGCTGGCCCAGTACAACACAGGCGTCAGCGCCCCTCTGGTTGGTCAAGGAACCACACGTAAGTTGATATCCTGTTAGCCTATTTGTGTTAGGAGCAGGACAAAGTGAACTAACGGTACTCTTGTTTATTTTTTAGTGTACCTAAATGTGACAGACTTGACCACCTACAACGTWGGCTTTGACTCTTTCTGCCTCCGATGGGCTCCTCACCGTGCAGCCACCTCCTACAGACTCAAAGTCAACCCATTCGACAGTATGAGCTTAACTCATTTTTACAATTTAGTRCCTAGTTTCTCCTTGATAGATCTGTTTGGTCCTGACGTTGTTGTGTCGTATTCATTTGCTCATAGTTTCAAAGAGAGGAGCTCAGGAAGTCACTGTGAGAGGCTCAGAGAGTACTTATTGCTTTGATGGCTTGAGTCCCGACACTCTTTACAATGCCACCGTGTACACCCAAACCCCCAACATGGAGGGGCCTGGAGTCAGCGTCAAGGAGAGAACATGTAAGAAAATGTCCTCTGGGACTGTTCACTACTAGAAAATATCCATTTCTCAGATGTATAATGTATTTTTACATTTACTGTATGGTTTTTTGTTTGGCGTTGCAGTGATGCAACCTACCATGGAGCCAACTGAGCCTCCCCCACCTCCTCCTCCAGCTTCAGTCCCACCTGCTTTAGATAGTGAGGAGAGCTCTAATTAAAGAAAATTTTATAAAAATGACCATTTCTTATCATCCAGATGAGCCATTAACACTGCTATCTGTGCAACAGTTTGTAAAGGTGCCAAGGCAGACCTCGTCTTCCTCATTGATGGCTCCTGGAGTATCGGAGATGACAGCTTCAACAAAGTCATCCAGTTTGTTACAAGCATGACTTCAGCGTTCGACGTCATCAGCCCCAGTGGCATGCAGGTACATTGCTTTGTGTCATTAATAATGTTTTTCTATATGCATGAACRTTAACTATAAGCCTTCTAATATTATTTTCTCCTTTTACAAACAGGTTGCATTTGTGCAGTTCAGCGACGACGCTAAGACTGAGTTCAAACTGAACACTTACCACGACAAGGGCGTCGCCCTGTCAGCTGTGAAATCAGTCCGCTACAGAGGAGGCAACACCAAGACCGGTAACCCGCTTAGTGAACTTAGCTTGTTAGCGGACTGATTCAGTAAGAGGTTTCGTTCTGAATTATGGTTCATCCTTCATCCAGGTGTTGCTCTGAAACACGTCTATGAAAAGGTGTTCACGTCAGACAGCGGCATGAGGAGAAAYGTCCCCAAAGTCTTGGTTGTTGTCACAGATGGACGGTCCCAAGACGACGTCAAGAAGAGTGCAGAGAAACTGCAACACTCTGGTATGTGTGGAATTACTCGTCACATCCATTTGGTTCACCACAACAATGGAATTGCTAGCTTCGAAATTTTCTCACCTACACTAGAGCTAACGCCTGTCGCTGATTATTTGTGAAAGCGTTTCGACATTCCAACAAGGCCTTCTGTGGTGTTTCAGCTCAACAATAGCCTTTGTTTATTTAGTTTATTGTGTGTTTTTTTTTTTTTTGCCTACAGGCTACAGTGTGTTTGTGGTCGGAGTGGCTGATGTTGACATGAGGGAGCTGACAGTTATTGGCAGCAAGCCCAGTGAGAGGCACGTGTTTGTTGTGGACGACTACGACGCTTTTGACAAAATCCAGGACAACCTGATCACTTTCATCTGTGAAACGGCCACATCCAGTAAGACAGAAGTTATTATATGTTGRATTTTGTCTTTTAGACGCTGGTTTTTTAAAGGAAAGCCGTTTCTCCAGATTAAACAGCCATAAATCAAATTATTCAAACTCTAATCTGTTTTTCCAACTCCTCCAAACGTCTTCCAGCTTGTCCTTTAATCTACATGAATGGATTCACCACACCTGGTAAGCACATGACTTCCTCTTATTGACATTGCTGAAAGGAATTTGTGTCTTTYGCAATCTCGGTTTGACTCTAGTTGTTTATTATTTCTAGGTTTCAGAATGCTGGATGCTTTCAACATCACAGACCGGACATTCGCTGGCATGAATGGCGTGTCTATGGAGCCTGGTTCCTTTAACAGCTTCATTGCCTACAGACTGCACAAAGATTCCTTCCTGAACCAGCCAACCAAGTAAGAACTGAAGCCAAACTGTGTTTGTGGGTGAAAACTTAGGGAGTGCAACTTTCATATTCATATCGTCATGCAAAGACATTATCTTTTGAGGGATTTCTACAGTGGCATRAGCCAACTACTTATCATTTATTTCAGAAAAACAAAAAACAAAAAAAAAATAGATTTAGCCTCTTTTGGGTCACATTTAACTGATGTCATGCAATTAGAGCTCCTTATAAAGCTGAAYCACATTGATTTGTTTCATTAATATGTTTATAATGCTGCAGATTTTGCATGTGTGAGTACAACCACTGATCAAATGCAGGCTAATGGAAACACTTTGAACAAATGCAGTCTGGAGGAGATAGAAAATGATTTCCGTGTGGCTGCAATTGAGAYAAAATTGAGTAGAAATTGTTTGCAGCCAGTGTGACGAACTGAATTTTGTGTTTTATTGCATCAAGGTTTGATCTAATGTTGGTCTTATAATGAAATGTTRCAGCTGATACTGTGAGGAGAGCTTGGTTTTGACTGTATGTTTTCAATTTTTAAAAGGGAGATCCATCCAGATGGTCTTCCCCCATCTTACACCATCATCCTGCTCTTCCGCCTCCTCCCTGACACACCGTCTGAACCTTTTGACCTCTGGCAGATTGCTGACAAAAACAACAACCCTGAGGTCGGGGTCACCATGAACCGTAAGTTTCTAYCATCGGCTCCTGTTTTTCTGATAACACTCAAATAACTTAAATAACTACACCTTATAACCCTACTTAATCATTAATAAATGGATATTTTCACTTGATTCATACTTAAGGTATAAATTAACAGATTTATTAATATTTTACCCATAAATGCTAATAACTACCTAACCCAACATACTCAAGCAAGTATGAATTATCTTTAATGAYGTTTTCAAGGTTAAAGAACCATTYATTAATGAKTAKGTAAGGCTAAATAAGGKGTAGTTACTATAAAGTGTTACCATTTTTTGTTTTATTATCCCTGAAAGATAAAGGTGGGCAAAACATTTTGTCCCTGTTAGTTTGTGTAACTGATATTACCATAAATGTTGGACAAATTTAAATAAATGTTGCAGAAAGTAATAACTGGAAGCCAATCAGTTGACTTGATTCAGATTCAAGATGGCTGCCACACAAAACGACTACATCTCAGTCAATTTTACAGATACTGAGCTGTGGTTTTCTGTGGTAGTAGCTGAGAGTCACTCGAAACATACTGGAAGCAGGATGTATCACTTCAGTTTGTGCACAAAGGTTTTTGTTGTTTAACCAAAATGGCTTAAACTTTTGTCATTTCTAAGCATAAACTAATCTACATCTAAAAGTCTGGCATGAAAGACAGYGGGTGATTTGCATTCATTTGTCATTTGTCAGTTTTGTTCTTAGCGGATTTCAAAAAAGAAACACGACTGACTTTAATCTACCGCTCTCAGTTTGAAATTGGATTTGCTTAGATTTTTTTTATTCTTTGGTAGAAATCCTTAAGTAAACATTTGTTTAATGACTGTGCCACGAGGAAAAGTTTGAGAAAAACGTTATAAAACTTGCAAGCTTAGCCATTCTCTAAAACCATGTTTCCTTATAGYCCTGAAATCTGCGTGCATCTTTAGACACTGTCATTAAATATTTCTCCTTTCAGCTTCCAGCCAGACTGTCACTTTCTACAACAAGGACACCCGAGGAGAGATTCAGAAAGCTGTGTTTAATGAAGCCCAAGCAAAGCGAGTGTTCCATGGGAGCTTCCACAAGGTAAACAAACCGCACGACCCCGACAGAGACCTTTATCTGATTTTTTCAAAGGTTCACTCTCTGAGGACAATTGAGGGATTTATATACTGTTTACATTCTTTCTCCTTTCACATATATTTATTTTACATTCTTTTATATTTTCTCTGTGAGGCTCTTCCGCCTCATTTAATCTGCCTGAATTATCCTTTAAAGTGAASTTCTGACAAAGACTCCACGCTATGAAGCCGTTTTGTATTACGTTCAAAGTCTCTCTGCTTTCAATCAAGTCAGTCAGTTCGCTGTCAGAGATTTTTGGCGCCATTCATTTTTCTATTTTTATGGTTTGATATTTAAGCTTTGTTTTATTTAGTTCAGGAACTTAATGTGATTTATGGAGCTTTGAAGGCCATAAATAAGTTTCAAGAGCAGCGGGAGGAATATTCTGATGCCTCGGTGGTTTGATTGTTCGGTTACAGACTGGAGACTGTTCTGGCAGATTTTTTAGTGGATTTCAAAACGACAAAAATAGTCCTGAAATAAAATCAGCTCTAATTTCAAACGAGAAGTATCGAATTCTAAGATTGTATCTTCAAGTTTGTTTTCTTTAGAGACACAAAAAGGGTTTTAGGCACAAAGATGATAAATGATTTTTAATTAATTGAAAGTAAAAGTGTTTTTAGAAATACAAACACATCATGTTCAGTAAGATGGAAATAATTTCTCCTAACGTGTCTGAACGTGCCTGAACATGTGCCCGTTTGTTGGTCTGTTAATATTTCCAAATCACTGGATATCATTTGAAGTCAACCTGATTTACAATGCAGCCACAGCTAATTGACCTTAGCAAACAAAAAAAATGGTTTTAACTCAGTCAATACTACAGATTTTAAGTTAAAATCTGGTTTGGTTGTAGTTGAGGCACATCCTCAAAAGATACTTTGGGCACAAACAAATTACTTCAAGGAATGCTACTTTRATTATTTTAAGAGATAGACTGACAAACAATAAATTACTTTTCAAGCGATGWGACAAAACTTTCATCTAACTTGTATTATTTTTTTGAAAAGACTTGTGTTTTCCTTTGTCAGCTAAACCACTTTATTGGAGCCTTATGCTCAGAGACTGCAGCCGTTTGGTTTCCCACAGGATGAAAAGTAACATCAAATGTCTCCATGTACAATTCAAAGAGGCAGAGAGCAGAACATATCTTTTGTWATGTATCAGCACAGCGGGGTGTGGATCGTACAACAATAGTACAGAACATTTCTATACAGGCCTGGAATGTCTYGAGTTAGAAATCACCTTTTTTCTCAAAACTGCATTTGACGCCACGAATGGCTGCCATTTTCTCTCTAATTCTGAGTTTATAAAAACGAGCCCATTTTAATCAGCAACCTCAAAGTTCATCCTTTTCGTACTGAGGGACGCATTGGCTCACAGATCAGAGTGACTTTCCAGTTTGACCATTTAACTAATTTTGAGGTGACTTTATGAGTCGAAATTGGAAGGTTTTGGCTCCGTTTTTGATGTAAATGACATCATTTTGTTTATGCTGGTCTAGTTGGAGAACAGATCTGTGTGTTTGTGTTCTCAGCCTGTGGCCATGGAGGAGACTGGAGTCTGAATGTGCTTTGGGTGGCTAGTTTGTGGTGCGGTAGATGAGCTGGCGGGTCCGCAGCGGTCTACCTAGCTGCTTATTTGTTGGTCTTTTCAGTAAGTGCCGCCGCTGCCTGCGGTGATGGTGTGAGTTTGCATGTTGTCGGTGGTTTTCTGAAACTTCTAGGCTTTTTCAGAGCAACCTCAGTGTTGTGTCTGTTCTGAAATCTCTCCAATAGGGATGAGCGCTGTTGAAAGACATAACTCCTTGYTGCAGATAAGATATCTGAAGTTGAAGCTTTGCCTGGTAGCTGATCCTGAAATAACTTCTGGCCTGAATATCTGTTCAAATATCACACAGTGTAAGGTCAGAGAGTACATCCAGATATGTTTCGAACTAGTTATTAAAGTGACCATGGTTGGAAAGCCTGTGGTATACCGCCAATCATGACATGTTGGAAAGCTCTCAAAGATGTCTGCTGCTGCCTACTCACTGACCCAATGGGGAATCCTCTCCCACAAAAAAATGGTGTGAGTTCCTGTGAGAGAAAATTTCCTACAATGACTAATTTTTTGTTCAGAGACAGAGTTCATTTGCAGAAAGCCTGACCTTGTAAGTCCCACTTGTATTTAGCTCATTTAAGCCAGCTGTGGATGAATGTACATAAGCAAAGTTCAGAATTCCTTSAAGACGTTTCCTCGAGTTCTTTGTTGGTGCGATGGACCCGTAGCCACATTGTTCGCTGACCACGCTCCTCCTCTTTGTCTTGGCAGCTTTCATCAATACTTGAATAAATCACATTTTCTCAGCTTAGCCAAAGTATTCTTACTAAAACTAAAATTTATGACAAGAATACGGGAAATTATATATTTAATTTTCCTACCAAGAAAAAATAAATCCAATTGTCCGTTTGCATGTGTCATATTAGAAACACGAGCTTCCCTTTCAGGGAGAAAGATGAGAGCTCAGAATTTATCTCAGCATTGTTTACATTAATATTTATCTTTGATTATATTCTCACCATTCATTTGTTTTTTTCTTTCAAACAAAAACAAACTAAATCATTGTTTTTTTGTATTTATGTAGTAGAAAAGCCTGAAATTCACCATATTTAGGTTCCAAGTCTTTCAAGGCTTAGAACTGTAAGCAATGAAGGATGAGTAAAGGTAGAGCCAAGAACAATAAAATCTTCTGTAATTGGAATCTGAGATAGTGTTAACCCTTTAGAGTACACTAAAAGAAGTAATGAAATTTATCCATTTGGACCATCTCCAACACAACAACCATCAGGGAACAGTRAAAGCTAGTTCTCCCAAAGCTTTATTTTCCACTGACTTAAGTGTTTTTATTGGGTTTACTYGCTGGTCAGTGAGGTAATATGTACATGGTCATAATTTGCCACCTCAATGTATCATCCAAAGTTGTTTCGGTAAGCCCTCAAGAGCATCATCTTATTTGACATCGTTGCCAGGACCCTCTGATAAATGGCACCCTTTTTGCTTGTGGTCCACCAGATGGTTTGTTCTGATGCCAAGGAAGTAGACTGTAATTTTGTGAATGGTTGCCAGGAACTATGGCCTAGTCTGTGGTTGGTGTAGCGTTGGAGAAAAAAAATGGTAGCTTGCTTTTTCCCCCCTGACATAAAGAAAAGCTTGTTTGACTGTTGAGCAGAGGAAAATGTGCAACTGCTAAAGGAAAGTATGGAAAGTGTAGGACTTTTGATGGCAAGCCACAGAAGATATTGTTTCAAGATGTAGAGCTTTTTTTATTTWAATTTTTTGCAGGAAACCTAAGAATTTGGCACCTTTTCATTCTGTTGTTATATAATCGCAAACTACCTTGGAAAGACAACTGTAGCGCATTTATTTTTATATGGTTCAGCATCTGAAGAGACATAAAATAATGTTCTCTTGCCAAATCAGCAATCTCTTGAGAGGAATCAAGTCTGTTAACAAAGGTTTGCAAAAGGAGCTCAGTTAAAAAGTCTCATGGAAGCACTTTTTAAAAGAATTTTCATTGTGCTTTTAAGTGCAAGCGTGCCTTTTCTGAGGACGGAGAATGCCAAGCACATCTTTTTAAAATTTCCAATGTTCTCAGTGCCGTCTGCCAGACAATTGTGCTGCAATAAATTTGGCAGAGATTTTTTTTTTACAAGGACAAGAATGTGTCGTTAAAAGTGCCCCTCTCTCCATCTTCTCCCTCCTCCAGATGCACATCACCGTCTCCCCTGAGAAAGTCAAGCTGCACGTGGATTGCATGGAGGTGGCAGAGAAGCCCATCAAGGAGGCCAACAACATCACGGTGGAGGGCTACGAAGTGCTCGGCAAGATGGTCAAGTCTGCCGGTTCAAAGAGGACTTCTGCACCGGTGAGYAGCAGGAGAGGTCAAAGTGGTTGAAAATGCCTGTGGAGATATTCAGAAATGYTGCCCAGTTTTCAGTTTCATCTGAAATAAAAAATCCACTTCAACGTTCTCCTGTTTTTTTTTTTTTCCTGTTGTGTAGTTCCAGCTCCAGATGTTCGATATTGTCTGCAGCTTGAGCTGGATCAGCCGGGACAAATGCTGCGAGCTGCCAGCCACGGTGAGTGGCACCTCAGATTCAGAGACGAGTCAGAAAAGATGCGATGTTTTAAATTAATGAGTGCCACGATTTTTGCTCATGTTCTTTTTGTGAAACATGAAATTTAGTTTTAGTTGTTATTTAAAACAACTATGATCTCACTGCAGCCTGAAGGCCATGCGCCGGCATGTGGTTAAGTGAAACTAGACAATAAGTTGGGGAAAAAAAGTAGCTCAAATGAACTGAAAAGAGAACTGTTTCTGGTGTAATTTAGCTAATTTAACCATTTTCAGCATGAATACAAGTCTTTGGAATGGCACAGCAGACGGTAAATGGCATTCACTTACATTCAGTTTGATAAATACAGGATGCCTGCAAATTTAGTCCAATTACGAGCAATTCATCTGTAATTTGCTTCAGATATTAATACATCACATCAATGATTGCAGCGTTACGTAGCTCATTATGTTAATGACTCTCATTCAGAAACGTGCTGGAGGTCTGCAGCTACAGAAAACTCCACTCGATCTTGTTGCGAATCCTATTTTAGGCCCAGCTCCCTTGGGATGTTTGAAATGGAAACATCAGCAAAGTAAAAAAAAAGTTTTCCAGGACAAAGTGGGAAAATAAATGTCTGAACATTTTGTCCATCATCATTAGGCACAAATCTTGACCCATTGCATGAACATGTATCATCAGGCTTTTTTTGTTGTTATTTTTTCCAGAGAGATGAGGCAAAGTGTCCATCCCTTCCCCACTCCTGTACCTGCACACAGGACAGCATCGGCCCCCAGGGACCTCCTGGACCTTCGGTAAAAACCAGATATCACTGCTTCTCATCTGTCTTCACATAATAAAATTGTTTTATCAGAGGCCTTGGGTGGTTTGAAGAAGATGATGATAAAGCCATGCTGTTGTATTCTAGAGTTACAGTGAAGCCACAGTTTGGGTTTGAACTTTAAGGGGCAGAGGACGGTCTTTTTTWAAAAAAGGGAAGAGTTTATTTCTCCCCATCTGGAAAGAACCATTAAGGATCAAACCGACATCCTGCAAATAAATGTGGGCTCAGGGACGTGTGTCAAAAGATAAATACCTGTTGAGAAACAACTATTAAAAAAAGAAATCTGGAATATGCATATTCAGTCAGTTCACTTAGGATTTCTTAATGCTTGAAGGTTTAGGGGGTTTGGGCTCTGCTTCTGTTCTGTTCACTCCATATTTCTGGTTCCTCTCTTCTCCAGGGCGCACCAGGATCTAAAGGACCTCGAGGAGATACAGGATCACCTGGCAACCCCGTGAGTCAAACTTCACATCATGCTCTAACCACGACAGGCTTTGCTTTCACACGTCCTCAATATCTATTATRGGTAATTAGAGGGCGTTAAAAGGTCCAACTCTGAGAGTTTAAATATGTCAGCAGCCGTGTTAGCAAATTGCCCACATCTGAAATCAGTTAACACCTGAATATTTTCCCACCACTAGATTTAGAGGAGGCTCGTGTCAAACGCTTCAAAGCATCGCTACCCAGAAGTTTTATTGTGAAACGATGAACTGTTGCTGATTAGGTTTATTATTTTGYTGTTATATTCAATCTAAAAGTTGTGGTGTTGTAACACATTAGTGATTTGGTTTGTTCAATGCTGCAGGGTGGAATGGGTCCACGTGGTGAACCAGGGCTCCCAGGCTCATTAGGACCACCAGGTCCTCAAGGCCCTAATGGACTTTCTCTGCCCGGACCACCTGTAAGTTAAAAGAGAAACGCTGTCAGTGTTTGAATTGATTTAGATGCTGCAGACTTTGTCCTTCTCTCACCTTCTGATTAGAGCTTATATATGWGTGGGAGTGTGGTCTGTGTGGAAGTTGTAGAGTGGCTGATGTAATCTCTGCTGCTCCAGTGAGAGGGGTCTCTAACAAACGTCAAAACCCATTACAGTACACTCCTCTTTTCTTTCAGACAGACAGCTAGACTATCAATTCTTTGGAGTTCTTATAAAAATGTGGCATCCATTACAATAACAGTGAGAATGATGAAGACCATAGCTGACTGCAAACCTCTCATCTCCCTCTCCCTCCTCCTCAGGGGAGCCCAGGACCAAAGGGAGATCGCGGAGACCCAGGCATTCCTGGCCTGCAAGTAAGTACCCCTTTCTCATTTGTGGTTTATGGACAGGAAATGGAAGAGCAGTGTTTCTTCTGGATCCTGAACTCTGTCCAACAACCAGACTGAGGGTGGTTTAACATCGTCAGGGGGGCCGGTACTCTAAAACCATCCTGCTGATTGACAAACCGTAGAAGGGCACTGATGCAGTTAAACTGTTATAAAACATGGACTCGTGTTACTGACGGAGGGTGAGACATGTCCTTCTCCATGCCTGAAGGAGACTGAAGCTAAAGCCATATTTACTTTATATGAAATTTATACACATTCTTGGTATCTGTGTCTGAAAGAAAGCTGAGCTTTTTTTTTTTTTTACAATGTGTGGGAATTATTAGATGGAAGGGAAAGTTTTTATGTGGGATTGCATTACAAAGCTATCTTGCTGACGTCATTCACCCGACTCCCACCATTCAGCTGGATCAGCAGTGGCTGGTTACTCTGAGCTCAGAATGATCAAATATGGAAGAATGAACTATTCTTTTAAACTTATGAGACGCAGGAGACATTCCCCCAGTTTTTACAAGCAAAAYATGTCATTATATTTGGCCAAATAGGTTGGAAATTATTTTCTGTATGTTCAACGTCAGCAGTGGGTTTAGGGAGCAACATAAAAGTCCAGCTTGTGGTGCTGCTCACTGTTTGATCAAGTATGTGTGATTTTTTTTTCCCAGGGTCCTCCTGGGCCACGAGGTCCATTGGGCCCTGTTGGACCAAGCGGAGCACGGGTAAGCTCTAACTCTAAGCCTATACAATGAACTTCAAAGYCTTTAAAATGGATCCAGCTCATGTCTTAAATGGGATTTCTCTTTTTGAAAATAAACCTATCTTGGTTTGAGTGTTTTATCAGCAGCAGTAATAGTTCTATTACTTAATTTGAAAAGACAGACTTAAGGCAAAACCAAACTTCAGTATTGACAATGATGTATTACTCTGACAGAGTCTCCTGGGAGCTGTAAGTCATGTCTGACAGTGTGTTGTTTCTATTTAGGGGCCACCAGGAAAGGAGGGACAAGCTGGACCCAGAGGCCCAMCAGGGCCCATGGTGAGTGTCTATGAGCGCCAAAGAAATACGGCTCACGAAAAGAAAAAAAATGCATGCTTTATTTTCCCGATACATTATACATATCTGCAACAATTACTCCTCTGGCTCCAGATTTCCACTCTGCTAGAACGGCACATAAAAACCAGACCGGGTCCCCCACAGTTGCGAAAGTGATGCATGCATCCCTCATTTTCCGTTTTCTGCGGTTTGCGGAGGTCTGATTCTGCTTAAGCCAGCCATCGTGTTAACAGGCAACCTGCCAGCATAGAGAGTGCGGTCTATAGCATCCTGAGTGCTACAGGAGCCATTAGGGTGATGGTTTGTGTTGGRGTGTACATGCATCCTGCTTGTACTGCTGTCGTGCATGTGTTTCCATCTCTGTTCTACTGTTCTTGGCAGCCTTTGCCCCCCCGCCCCCCCACAATCCCTGCAGATGTCAAAGCTCAAATCCAAACTTTGACGCTTGTTTTACAACCATTAACTGAGAACAGGAGTCAAACACTGCAGTCACTTTTTTCTCCCTGAATGCTAATTACATAAACAGAACGTTTTGGGCAAATTTCTCCTCTTTTTTTTCAGGGAAGCCCTGGAAATCCTGGTGTACCCGGAATTACCGGAAAACCAGGGAAACAAGGAGATCCAGGAAACCAAGTATGTGTTATATTATGAGAAACAGATCTATGATAAGATAATAACAATGTTTAGAAAAAGGGTCAAAGCTGGCTCTAACTTCTCTTTTTTACCCCCAAACAGGGACCGATTGGCCCTAAAGGAGAAAAAGGAGAGAGGGTATGTTTTTATCAGACTTTTACACACAGTATATCATGGCTGAGCAAAGAATTCCTCTCCTCATGAAACTGTCTTTGATTCCCAGGGAGACTTTGCATCCCAGAACATGATGCGTTCCATTGCCAGACAAGTTTGTGAACAGCTTGTGAGCAGTGAGTGAAACTTCTTTTGAGCCTCTGGAAATTTTAACGTTCCCTGAAAYGGACAGCTCACCCTAATCTGTCTGAATTTGTCCTGTGATTGCAGGCCAGATGAGCAGAATTGACGTTATGCTCAACCAGATACCTTCCGGATATCGCAGCAACTCTCCAGGRCCACCCGGTCCTGCTGGTCCTCCTGGTGCCCAGGGAGCCCGAGGAGAGCCTGGCCAAACTGGGAGACCTGGCTTCCCCGGAAACCCTGGATTACCTGGAAGTCARGGAGAAAGAGGTGCGTATTTTCTTCTTTTAAGCAGGAATGCATGACTGAACAGGGTGAAAGTCAATCTAGACTGCWCTACTCCAACTTTAGGGTTTAAAGCATTATTCAGGCCCTGTCTTCCAATCAGTTACTGTGTAAAATGATGCTTGCACTAAAAATACCAACAATGATGAGTTTTTTCATGTTTCAACCCCTTAATAGCTTAGTCACTATTATGCTTTAGAAAGATTAATTGAGAAAAAAACAGGCAAATATGCTGAATAATAATAATAATAATAAAACAAGCTTAGTGGAATCATACTTTTTCTTTAGATATTTACTTTTTTCCAGACACTAATAACTGCTGCTAAAACCCAATTTATCTGTCTAAGACCAATTTTTTTTCTGAATTTTCAGGTTTGCCAGGAGATAAGGGAGAGAGAGGATCTCCTGGAGATGGTATCAGAGGACAAAGAGGCCCACCCGGACCACCAGGTAACACAAGTTCTCATATTTCCCAAATAAGAAAGTCAATTTGTAACTGAATATTTAATCGCAACAGGGCCAAGAAGTCAACCAGCTTAAAGTTTTGTGGTAAATGTTGTCCTCCAAAAGCTAAATCCAATAATGCCGGACTTCCACCTTTCAATTTTACCCATAAAACATATTTTCATCGTGTCAACAACTTCGCCTATTTGTGGTCCCATTAGTCAACTTCAAAATGACAGATTCCAGCCTGGACTTTAATTCTTCTTCAGTACACGTGACTTTCATTTGTGTAGCGGAGCTACATAAACACTTTGGCATGAAGCCAAGCAAAGTCCCAAATCTTTACGGTCTGAAAGATTTATGTCAGGTGTATTTCCTGCTTTTTCTCTCGGTGGCAATTGATGTATTTCTGGTCATTATTAGGAAGTAAGGGGTTAAGACAACCTTTTCTCCATCATAACTCAAAGTCATAAAGCTTCTAAAGTGTTTTGTGTAAAGATTTCCTTTTCTTTGGGAACTGATGACAGAGCGACAGGAAGTTTCTGCTCCACAACACCAAACAATGACAAGCCTGTTTCTGAATGAAGTGAGAAAATCTGAACCAATGGGAGGACGTCCATTCTCCTGACTAAGTGTGTGTGTTTGTGTGTGTGTGTGTGTGTGTGTGTGTGTGTGTGTGTGTGTGTGTGTG